AATGTAGTTTCGTAGCATGTGCTTACATGTTCAAATATACGGACATAAAAAAAAATTACGAGATTAGTCTGTCATGCATTAATTATTTTTCGTTCTTATTTATAGGAATTCATCATGAGAGGCTTATTCTCTTCCTTTACATACGGTGGCGCTCAAAACTATTCTTACATCCAACGAATAACGATTGGATGATGATATCTCTGTTCTAATTCAAGGTATAGAGCTGTGGTTTTCCACAACATGTATCCAAGTACTGATATTTTCAGCCGTACAGGGCGGGTCTTGGTGATATAAGGCTAAAAAAATAAAATTGTGGAGTTTTAATTTTACTCAAAATTATTCGCACAGCTATGGCATGAGGCAAAAATGATTTTAACATGGAGTACTTTGCAAATATCTCAGCATCAGCAAATACTATAATCCTTAAATTTTTGAAGAAAGAGGTGTCGTGAAATTCTCTAAAAGATTGACTATGAAAGCATTCCATCAAGTTTTTGTAAGAATTTTCTCTTAAAACTTAAAGTCTCTCAAACACAAAAGTAAGTACGTACCTTTTTCAATGAACTCGTTCTGCTCTTTGTTCTAATGATTAAACTCTCATTTACATATCTATGAATAGAGCGTAAGTTACAATACTCATGTTTATATGCAGTCGATTTTATTGGCCTATTGTTTCAGATTTGCTCGATATATAAGTTACATAAATCATTTGTTAAAAACGAAGACTGCCAATGTAGACTTGAAGATGAAAATTGGTGTGAATATAAAGATTTTCATATACAATATGTCAGAAAGAATGTTTCGTTTCAAACTATTTGTGATGAATTTACTGAACTGATTTCGATAATTATCGAAGGACAAAATGAAACAGATGAAACAGAATGTGAACACTGGCCGTGTAATAAAATCTATACTCGTTGTGATAGTTTATGGAATTGTCCACATGGTGAAGATGAAGTTGGTTGTGATTTATCTTCAACATTAAATTGTTCTTCAGATCATCACAGATGTGTTTCACGTCATATGAATGAATTTATTTGTCTTCCTGTTAAGCAAGCAAATGATGTCAAGAAAAGTATCGTGCAGAATTTTTGTATAATTTTTACTGCATAAATTCATACTATCAATCATGTATTGGTGTCGAAGATCTATGTGATAATTATACAATTTGTGATCATGAAGATGATGAAAAATTTTGTGTAAAAAATCGAACAGGTATTTTCACATATGACAGTATTTGTTTTTCGCCTGATTCATCTATTCGTTCTGATGTCGAACAATTTTTATGTCACGAAACAAAAAGAAAGATTAAACAACAAATTAAATATTTTTCATTGGATGGAATGAGCAAATCCATCGAAGATCAAACTAAGAATATAATAAAACTCAGATTTTCAAATTCATCTCACATCGAAATGTCTGATCAACATGAGCTTCGATGTCATCGTGGTTTTGATTTATGTATATGGTTAAATAATGAAAAGAACTTAACAATAAATATGTCTTTGCCCGTCTAGTTTTTATGGTGATATGTGTCAATATCGAAATTAACGAGTGAGTTTGACCATTAAATTTCGAGTATTATCAGATTCTTGGTCAACATTTTTTACAATAATTATTTCACTTATTGATGATAGTGAAGAAAGAATTATTCATTCATATGAACAATTTACTTATTTGTCAATAAGAGATTGTAAAATCAAATTTAATATTTATCTGCTCTATTCAACTCGACCAAAAAATGAAACCAAAAACTATGCTATACAAATTGATATTTATGAAAAACTTTCATTAACCTATCAAGGAAGTTTATTGCTTCCAATAATATTCCATTTTTACCTGTTCATCGTTTAGCATATGTTGTTGATATTCCACGAATTAATGAAAACATTCAAACTTTTTTTAATTCTCAATGTATTTACGGAAAATGTATGCCATATTCGAATAATCCAAAAAAAAGAATAGTTTTTGTCAATGTAATCGCGGATGGTTTGGACAATATTGTACTATTCCATATAGTTGCACGTGTTCATCTGATTCAATATGTATGGGTATGTCTGCTTACAATCGATCTGTATGTGTTTGTCCTATTAATAAATTTGGTGATCGATGTCTTCTTGTCGAAACAATTTGTAAAATGGATAATAATTTAAGATGCCAAAATGGTGGTCAATGTATTCCTGCTGATGAATATATGATATCGACTAGAAAATTTCTATGTATTTGTCCAAAAGTTTATATTGATGATCGATATGAAACAGTCGATAACCAAATAATTCTATCATTTCAAAAAAGTATTGTTTTATCTCAATCGATATTTATTCATTTCATTCAAGTTATCAATAATAGTGCACCGATGAGAACAACAACTTTTCGAACAATTTCTCTTACAAAAAATTTACTTATAGTTTATTTGTCACAACCATTTCATCTTGTTTTTATTGAACTTTTAAATAAAATTTATTATTTAGCTGTTATTCAAAAAACTTATGAATAATCAACAACAATTAATAAAATGATAAATCCATCAGATCGTTGTCGCCATATAAACGAAGTATTTAATGAAACATTTGTTCAGATGCATGTTCTTCGTCGAATCAAATATTATCATTTACCATGTCAAGAATATTCATCAAATCTTTCTTGTTTTTATGATGTTCTTCATATTTGTTTATGTTATGATTATGAAAAACAACGTTTAGCAAATTGTTTTGACTTTAATCATAATATGAAATTTGATTGTTTAGGTCAAAGTGTCTGTGAAAATGAAGGTGAATGTTTTCAAGACACTCCAGATTGTCCACATAGATCAATGTGTATTTGTCCAATATGTTTTTATGGAACACGATGTCAATTTAGTTCAAGTGGATTTGGTTTATCACTTGATGCTATCTTAGGCTATCATATTCAACCACATTAGTCTTTATACATCAGCCAAATATTGTAAAGACCAGTTTAGCATTGACTCTAATCTTTATGGTAGTAGGATTTATCAATGGAGTTTTAGCTTTGATTACATTTAACAACAAAACTATATGTGAAGTTGGTTGTGGTTTGTATCTATTAGGTTCATCAATTACTACTTTACTTACAACGATTATATTTGGATTAAAATTTTGGATACTTGTTCTTGCACAAATGACACTTGTATCTAATCGATTATTTTTAAAAATTCAATGTATATCTCTCCATTTTATTTTAAGAGTTTGTCTTAATATGGATCAATGGTTAAATTCTTGTGTTGCTACAGAACGAGCAGTAACAATAATAAAAGCTACTCATTTTCATAAGGCAGCAAGTAAAAAAATAGCGAAAATAATTATTGTTATGCTTGTGATTTTCACTATTGGCACTTCTATTACTGATCTTCTTTATCGACGTTTAATTGATGAAGACACTGAAGATTATAAACGTATATGGTGTATTGTTAGTTATCCATCTAATTTAAAAATATTCAATTCTATTATGCATACTTTTCATTTCATGACTCCATTTATTATTAATTTGATGTCAGCTATTATTCTTATAACAAAAAATCTCGCCAACGATCAAATCTTCAAATTAATCGAAATTTTAAAGAACTTTTTAAGGAACAAATCCTACGACATAAACATGTATTGACTGCTCCAGTTCTATTAGTTATTCTTGCATTACCACGTTTAATTCTTTCATTTTTATCAAAATGCATGAAATCAACAAATGATGCATGGTTATTTCTTATTGGATATTTTATTCCATTTATTCCACCTATGCTTACATTTGTTATATTTATATTACCGTCAAAGTTTTACAAACAACAACTTCATAAATCTCTTGTTGCTTATCGAACTAAAATATAAAGACAATTAAACTATATTATATAAATGTAATTAAAATGATTTTGTTGAAATTATTTATGAGTCTATTTATGTTCGTTTGTTCTTGTGGCTAAATCTATTTAACGTTTGTTTTTCAAATATTGCCGAACAAAATAAAGTAGTTGGATATTTTAGTACTGTTACTAAATGTCAGGAATTTCCGAGACAATAAAGTTCTGAAATCCGAAAATTAAATGAGTAGAGTCCGTCGTGGTCTAAATATTTGGATTCGAACCTGATCGAACCATACTTTGATACTCTATATGAAATCGTCTAATGGGAATTGGACAGTTTCTCTAGAGATATGAGACACATATTTCTGTCCTTTTGCATTCAGTGGATAGCAGACTCTACGCCTTTGTCAGATGACTATATAGCGTTGCACTCAAAATTCTCGGGTTTGGATTTGATAGGGATCGATTCGGCAACTAACTCGGTGGGGTGTTCATGTACTCTATGGTTTTCACATTTGCTGTGAAACTGAAACGAGACGCAAGTACTTTGTTATAGGAGCTTTAGATAATAGTCTTTCATTCAATAATAGAAATACAATCATAGAGCTCGTTTTACACATCGTATTAGCAACTACAAAACATTACATTTTGTTTTTTGATCAATAATTCCTATTGAGAAAAAGCATAAAGCACTTAACATTCTTATATCGATTTTAAATGGCATAAAAATTGTTTAAGTATTTTTTTCTCGACAGAAAATATTGGTCAAACAAGAAAAGAAAGTCTACTTTTTTGTTGTCACTAGTGTAACGCGTAAAATAAGGGCGACGATCGATCATCTGTCTAGGGTTCAAGTAATATTATTAAAAGACTATCATAAGAAAGTGCTTATATCCAATTTCTGCTATGAAATTGGATTGTTGTCTTTTTAAGATCATTCATTCTAACTTCATACAAAGATTCTATTATTATGAAACAATTTAAAACAGCTTATTGTTGTCTGTATGGATTTCATTTTATGTTATATTTGTTTTTTTGCTTTGTCTTGTCTCGATACGCGTTCGTAGATGAAACCTTAATAATTTGATGTGTTATTTTTAATTCAAGCAGTTTTATGAACAGGAAGATTTAAATTCCTTAATGAAAACTTTTTCTAGAAATGTTTGTTTTTTGTCAAACTGTGCTTTATGTTGTTATGTGACGTTAAACTTTAGCAAATTAATTATGATACAATTTTTAAAATAGTTATACTTAATCTATTTCCTTTCGTCTTTTATACATAGCTTTATGTTTAAATTAATAAACGGAATTGAAACATCGAAGTAGTAAGACGTGGAGCATTTGGCCATAGAGTTCAGTTCACTGACTTATTTTCGATGTTTCATTCTGAAAACTATACAGATCGATAGATAGATTTTAGCACGGCGAACCTTTTATTGGTATCTTTTTTGTGTGCCTCAGTAATACTTTACGAATCATTTTGAGTATTCTTAGTATCGATATTTTTCTGATGTTTTCATGAGACTCCCCTTCTGGATTATGCGCCTATATATAGATCTTAAATATTTGATGTGCACTGACATCACGTCGTACTTTAGCCAATCTATTTCATTATCGAAAAATGTCGAATCAGCTAACATTTCATAAGAATATTATCAAGAAAACTTGATAGTTTTGCTAATTATCAACCGTTTATCAATGATATACATTACATCGTCACTCAACATTTCGACATTATCTTGAGAAAACACGAGAGCTACATTGTGATTTTGTCATCATATAGCTACAGGTAGGTTGGCGTTTTAAAATAATCTAAAGAAATCAAGATGATAAGAGTAACCAAGCGCTTTGACTAGAATCAAAACTCATTTATTTTTTAATAGTCTAAGCTGATCTGGGCAACTATGGACTTTCTTGAGTATCAAAGGATACGATAAAGAGTTATATATTTTCTTTTATTGCTTACATTTTACATTCAAATTAATACTTAGATTGATATTAAAATATCTAAAGAATACAACATATGAATTACTTTAGATAAGCAGTACATAATTTAGTTAATGTACAGTGTACAGAACTTATCATCCAAATAATAAGTCAATAGTACTTGAAATCTGCTATTTTATTCTTGGACTGATCACTCAATAGCTGGTATAAGCGCTTCATTTCAATCATCTAATGAAACACCTTTTGAAAATCAACGCATTAAAATGGTCTTTTTCGATAAAGCACAACGAATATGAATGTGGATGTTGGCGTGGCTATGTCTGTGAAGGGGTATCAGCCTTCCCGCATATTCAATGGGATACTCATCAGCACCGACGCTCACACCCTCAAAATAATACACGAAGCACAATTAATATTTCATTTTTATTTTTGAATTAACTTATGTAAGTGACATTAGAAAACGCTTTCGTTTCTAAACGAGGATCAATCAAAATTTCAAAACTAATTTGTTTAAGATGATCAGTTGTTGGAGTAAGTCGAGCAAATTCAGCAATCGTCAATTGCTGAAGATTTGTTGATAAAAAAGAATTCATTGAAAGAAATTCTCCAATATTCCTTTTCATTAATTCAAGTTCATCAATTCCAATCAGCTAACCACGATAAACACGAATTATTTTTCCATTCACGTTTCTACGAATAAATTTTTCATATTCATTTTTAACTTGTTTTCCAATATCAGTAATACATGTATGCCACCATATTATATTTTCTGCTTTATAGTTCTTTTCAAATTCATCAATAATTTTCATTTCTTTCTGATCATCCTTATAACTATTCTTACAAATATCCAAAAGTTCTTTGTGATCATTGAACTAACGATACATACGACGAAGATCTTCAATAAATAATTGAAATTCCATAAAAATAGCATTACGAGTTTGAAGAGATTGGGGATCAGATGTAATTATCCAAAGAAAACACAATGGACTTGACATTTTTAAGTCAAAAAATAAAAAAAGAACCCGACCTTTATAAAATAGCTAACCTTGTGATATTTATTAGTCCGTTGTTGGTTTGATTTTTGATCTTTACAGAAAACATAACATTCAGAAAATTGTGAACGATGATGAAGTCGAGGTACAATTTCTCAACCTAATGAATTAGATACAATGAGAACAACTTTTTTTTTTGTAATTTGTCAAATGTATTGTTCACATTCATCAATATTATCAAATGTTCGAAGATGATTGATCGCTTGACACAGTTAGTTTTGACTTTCAAGATTATTTTCTGTTCAATTGACTTTTTGATTTAGCCATAGACATGCAAACGACTCAAAATTAGAATTTATCGACTGGTGGAGAGATTTGGCTGAACTTTATATTTTAGTTGATTGATTTTTGTTAGTAGCTATTTTAGTGAAAGAAAAAAAAACCGTTGGAAAAAACTCCGGCCTTTATGCTTCATTTTATGTTTTCTTTTAACTGTCAAACAGTACGATGTTTCATGTGCTCGCTTAAATTTAATCTTGATTGACATATTTTTCGTCTTGGTTCTTGCACGAAAGTTGTTAAACGCATTCCATACACATATCGACAATATTGACACAAGTAAATTAAATCAGAGATGGGCAAATCATGTCATTTTTTACTTGAAGATTTCTTTTTATTAATAATGACTTGATTTAAGGTCTCTTTCCCTCCAAAATTGGTTTTGAATAAAATACATAGGATCTTGATGGAGCTTTCCACAAATGCTAGGTTCATAAGAGTATACGTATGAAATTTTTTATATCTCTCCAAACCGTAACGTTCAGAACTTTAATAGAGATCAAGACCCAAAATGAACCCTCCATTCGTACAGATTTGTTTATACCTTACTTCAAGGTACAGTACTGTGGATTATTTTATTTGAAAGAGAAATCTTTACCGTTTTGGATGACGGAAAGAAATTTTAAAGTTTTATCTTATTCAATCTTAGGGGTCCTAAAAATTCTAAAGCTGCGAAAATCATAGGTAACTTTTTCTCTAAAATCCGTACTTACTCCGATACGGAAAGTCTAATACACAATCGCTTCGCCCCTCCGAAAGAGGATACATGGACGTGAATGTGGGTATGCAAGAACAGAAAACTAACATCCACACCAACACCTCTGAAAGTGTAGGTCAACAACGAGTTTGCTGGTGTTTGCAGTTTCATATAAAGTCCCCGACACATTAGAAGACCCGGGATCTTCTATTCTGTCTTACCATTCACAAGTTAAAAGGAGGGTCTTCTATTATGTCCCTAAAAAAGGTCATATTTTTTGGCAGCTTTGCCAAAAAATCTTACTTTCATTTGATTTTTGTCCCTGATATCGTTAACAAATGAGTTTTTTTTACTTGTTTCACTTGTGCAGGGTAAAAAAAACAAATATTATCTCGTGAAAAAGGGAAGACCATGCTGCGTAAGAAGTATTCTTAGGAGATATAGTCATTGTATCCCAACATTTTGGTACGATATCTGTTAGCGTTCTTTTTTTAANTCGATGTTTTCTTGTCGAAACAATTTGTCAAATGGATAATAATTTAAGATGTCAAAATGGTGGTCAATGTGCTCCTACTGATGAACATATGATATTGACTAGAAAATTTCTATGTATTTGGCCAAAAGGTTATATTGGTGATCGATGTGAAATAGTCGATAACAAAATAATTCTATCATTTCAAAAAAGTATTGTTTTATCTCAATCGATATTTATTCATTTCATTTAAGTTATTAATAATAGTACACCGATGAGAATAACAACTTTTCGAACAATTTCTCTTACACAAAATTCACTTATAATTTATTGGTCACAACCATTTCATCTTGTTATTATTGAACTTTTAAATAAAATTTATTATTTAGCTTTTATTCAAAAAACTTATGAACGATCAACAACAATTAATAAAATGATAAATCCATCAGGTCGTTGTCGCCATATAAATGAATTATTTAATAAAACATTTGTTCAGATGAATGTTCTTCGTCGAATCAAATATTATCATTTACCATGTCAAAAATATTCATCAACTCTTTCTTGTTTTTTTTTTGATGATCTTCATATTTGTATATGTGATGATTATGGAAAACAACGTTTAGCAAATTGTTTTAACTTTAATCATAATATGAAATTTGATTGTTTAGGTCAAAGTGTCTGTGAAAATGAATGTCAATGTTTTCAAGACACTTCAGATTGTCCACAAAGATCAATGTGTATTTGTCTAACATGTGTTTTTGGAACACGATGTCAATTTAGTTCAAGTCGATTTGATTTATCACTTGATGCTATCTTAGGCTATCATATTCAACCACATATTAGTCTTCTACATCAGCCAAATATTGTAAAGACCAGTTTAGCATTGACTATAATTTTTATGGTAGTAGGATTTATCAATGGAGTTTTAGCTTTGATTACATTTAACAATAAAACTATATGTGAAGTTGGCTGTGGTTTGTATCTATTAGGTTCATCAATTACTACTTTATTTACAACGATTATATTTGGATTAAAATTTTGAATACTTGTTCTTGCACAAAAGACACTTATATCTAATCGATTATTTTTAAAAATTCAATGTATATCTCTCGATTTTATTTTAAGAGTTTGTCTTAATATGGATCAATGGTTAAATGCTTGTGTTGCTACAGAACGAGCAGTAACAATAATAAAAGCTACTTATTTTCATAAACAAACAAGTAAAAAAATAGCAAAAATAGTTATTGTTATCCTTGTAATTTTTACTATTGGTACTTCTATTACTGATCTTCTTTATCGACGTTTAATTGATGAAGACACTGAAGATTATAAACGTATATGGTGTATTGTTAGTTATCCATCTAGTTTAAAAATATTCAATTTTATTATGCATACTTTTCATTTCATGACTCCATTTATCATTAATTTGATGTCAGCTATTATTCTTATCACAAAAAAATCTCGTCGACGATCAAATCTTCAAATTAATCGAAGTTTTAAAGAACTTTTAAAAGAACAAATCCGACAACATAAACATTTATTCACTGCTCCAGTTCTATTAGTTATTCTTGTATTACTACGTTTAATCCTTTCATTTGTATCAAAATGTATGAAATCAACAAATGATGCATGGTTATTTCTTATTGGATATTTTATTTCATTTATTCTACCTATGCTTACTTTTGTTGTATTTATATTACCATCAAAGTTTTACAAATAACAACTTCATAAATCTCTCGTCACTTATCGAACTAAAGTACAAAGACAATTAAACTATATTATATAAAAGTAATTAAAATAATTTTGTTGAAATTATTTATGGGTCTATTAATATTCGATTTTTCTTTTGGCTAAATCTATTTAGTGTTTTTTTTCTCAAATATTGCTAAACAAAGTAACGTAGTTGGATATTTTAGTACTGTTACTAAATGTCAGGAATTTTCGAGACAATAAAGTTCTGAAATCCAGAAATTAAATGAGTAGAATCTATCATAGTCTAAATATTTGAATTCGGATCCGATCGAATCATACTTTAATACTCTATATGAAATCTTTTAGTGGGAATCGAATAGTTCTCTTAAAGATACGAGATACGCTTTTCTGTTTTTTTTGCATTCAGTGGATAGCAGACTGTACGTATTTATCAGATGACTATATGCTATCGCACCCAAAATTCTCAGGTTTGGACTTGAATAGGGATCGATTTGGCAACTTACTCGGTGGGCTATTCATATACGCTATGGTTTTCACATTTGCTGTGAAACTGAAACGGAACGCAAGTACTTTGTTATAGGAACTTTAGATAACAGTCTTTCAGTCATTAATAGAAATACAATCATAGAGCTCGTTTTATGCGTCGTATCAGCAGCTACACAACAGTACATTTTGTTTTTTAATCAAAATTTCCTACTGAGAGAAAGTATAAAGCGGTTAACATTCTTATACCGATTTTAAAAGGTACAAAAATTGTTTAAGCTTTTTTTTTCTCGACAGAAAGTATTGGTTAAAAAAAAAAGAAAGTCTACTTTTTTGTTGTCCCTAGTGTAACACTTAAAATAAGGGCGACGATCGAACATCTGTCTAAGGTTCAAGTAATATTATTAAAAGACTATTATAAGAAACTACTTATATCTAGTTTCTGCTATGAAATTGAATTCTTCTCATTAAAAAAAATACATATTATTACTCTTTTAGATCATTCATTCGAGCATCATATGAAGATCATATTATTATGAAACAATTTAAAATAGTTTATTTTTTTTGTCTGTATGGATTTCATTAGATGTTATATTTGTCTTTTTGCTTTATCTTTTCTCGATACATGTTCGTAGGTGAAATCTTAATAATTTTATGTGTTATTTTTAACTCAAGCAGTTTTATGAACAGAAAGATTTAAATTCCTTTGTAAAAGCTTTTTCTGGAAATGTTTGTTTTTTGTCAAACTGTACTTTATGTTGTTATGTGACGTTAAACTTTAGCAAATTAATTATGATACAATTTTTAACGTAGTTATTCTTAATCTATTTACTTTCGTATTGTACACATAGCTTCATGTTTGAATTAATAAACGGAATTAAAACATCGAGGGTGGATGTGGATGTAGAGAGAATACACATCCACATCCTCTCGTTCATTTGTTCAATAATTCTTCATTGAACGTTCTTCTATACAAGTTATGGATTATTTTTTTACGTTGTTAATATATCAGATCATGATAATACAATTCTTCATTCGTGAAAATCGGTTTAATCGTTTTCTTAATCGGACTGACATGAATACGAGAGTATTTCGAATTCATCGAAAGAGAACAATATTTTCAATCACCAAAATTCTTCCAATATTATCTTTTCGAATTATTTATTAATCGTTAAAGTGTATAAACATACGATCTTCTTCTCACTCACATTCAATAATTTTCACATTGTTAAATAAAGCGACTACATGTAACAGAATTCAATCTCACTTCGAGGTTGACATTTTCATAAACAAAAATAGATATGTACTATTTCTTAAAATTATACCTACCCCAATCAGTAATCACTTCGATTACAAATTAATTGGTTTCTTATTCATTAATCTGTTTGATATCGGAAAACAGTGTTTAATGGGAATAAAGCGTTGTATTTACCGAGCCGAAGTGCGTTATAAGAGATAATGAAAAATTACATTTCGGAAAAAATTGGTGATGGAAATTATTTCTTTCTTCTCTTTAACGAAAACAAACTATTTATGTTCTTTCTTTCTGCAACAATGCTTTAAATAACAGTTTTAAAAATAATTTATCTATTTTTATAGAAGATATAAATCTTCTCTACATCCACCATTAACCTACAAAATCAACAAGTTAACCAATATTGTTGTAGATTATTGTCAAAGGCAAAGTCAAAGAAAAAAGAATCTTGATTGAATTTCAGGCACATTTTTATCTGATATAAATGATATTGAAGTTCTTTCCGAGATTTCTATATGTAATACTGAGGTTATCTATATAACGGTTCTATTGGGATAATGCGATTAAAAAAAAAACAATTCTTTTTCGTATTTCAAGTCGTTTTAATAATGGGCGAAGGCATTATCTACATCAACTTGTCCTATTCCAATGAATCCAATCTGTTCATATCAATGACTACATCCATCTAGGTTTTAGAACGATTTTGAATTTACTATATTGTTAAGGAATTTTTCTTCTTCTTTTAATTTTTCCATTGACAATATCAATCAACTGAGTTGATGTGTCAAGGAAAATGTCTCGATATCGAGTTTGACCGATATGGTAGAAGAATATTGAATTTCATAATCATTTTTATTCGTTAAAAAGGCGAATTATCCTTGTTTTGATTTCTTTCGAAGTATTTCAGCGTCCTTGGGCCGAAATAAGGGGTCTCAGGAGAACAAGTTAGACACATTCACTTTAGTACAGATCCAAAGAGAAGTACTTTTTTCTATCGAATAGTTACAGTTTAAACCGAAATTTATTTGTGATGCTTTCCAGAAAACTGTTTTTGAAATCTCGCACAGAAATTCAGTCGATGAATCAGTCAAACTCTACCTTTTCTTATAGTCCAAAATGTTCTCTTTTGAATGATGAAAATTCCAGGTCTTTATTTTGTACCGATCGAAAATTATTCTGAAAACATTGACCTTACTTATATCCGTCTAGATATGAAAATGAAACAAACCAACATAACTGTCTTTCGTTTGTTTCGAGTAAATAAATGGAAGAAAAACTGTTTTGTTAATTATTTTCGCTTACATCGAAGCAAAGTTCAATAATTGATAACATAATAGAACGTTACATGGCAACCAAATATTTGTTACAACAGTTCAGTTCCTCAGTTTCGCTCATTTCCAAGGAAAGTTTTCTACTCCCGCACCTTGCCGAGCTCCACAGGACAAATAAGTATTTGTCAAAAAATTTTTGTTCATCAATTCTGCTCGCTGCAAAGCAAAACTTGCTGCTTCATCATGTAATCGAACAGCACATGACAAATGAATATTTTTCATTACTGCTATGTTCATCACTTCTGTTCATTCCTTAGCAAAACTTATTAGTTGCTCATCTGATCTAACATGACGTAGGAAAAGAAAAGTTGTCAGTACTATTGTGTTCATCACTTTCGCTTAATTTAAAGCAATGCTTACTACATGCTTATTTAATTGAGCATCACATGAAAAATGATTTTTTTTCTATAAGAACACTATTCACTACTTTGAACTACTTGTGCGAAAAGGCTAGTAGTTTATGCGCACTGTGAGTAGGAGATGGTGATTGAATCGCTGAACATACAACTGCCAAGATTCTATTCATTTTTTATGTTGATTTTTCAATCTGTAAAAATGACCTATCACTTCATCAATATTTTTATAGAAAACGATTACTCATAATCAAGGTTCTTCGCAATTATTTCATGTATATCAAAGCAAAAATTGTGATTTTATCTGTCAGTAGGAAAACATAAGAGAGACAGACGATTTCTAGCAGCATTGAATTTATTTATATCAGCATTCAAATCGCGGATTCCCAGTACATCAATGCAATGGAGTTCATCCGATAATTGAACAGTCAGAACGCATATTCAGTTTACTTTTTTAATTCAACTCAAGTCAAAGTTTTGTTTTAATAGTTTAATCGAACACTGCATGGCAAGTAAATAAACAGTTTCCTATATGTTTATTCAGCCTTTTACATGATCTCTAATGATTAGTGTTAGTCAGCTATGTTAAACATTAATGATACAATGAAAGAATAATAGTTTGGATAATATATCTGTTCATTTATTTTTTTTCACAACAAACACAGACTCGAGATTGATTTACTGATATTCAAATGAATAATTATGATCCAGATTTTATTCTTTTTTTTTTTTTATTCGTTCAAGAGAAAGCTACTGAGTTGACCGGGTAGACGAAGAAAATAGGATATATGAAAATACGCTTTGTCGCCACAGTTCTATTCTTTTTCCTATTCATTTTAATTAAAAGTTCAATATAATACACTCATCGAAGAATGCACGATCAAAGAATAATTCTTATCTTTCTCATTTTTTTAATCATTTGCTTTAAACTTTGCAGAGGAGAAACTATAAAGCAATCGAATAATTGTGAATCACATTGTAGATGAACACTCGAGATAGAAGATCTACAAGTCTATCTTAATCTTCTCATAGTAAAGCTTAAGGATCAGTTAGTTGATACAGATCAAGAAACAAGTAAATGTATATTCGCCAATGCAGTTATTCACTTTTTTGTTCATCCTCAAAAAGAGAGACATAGATTTGTACAGTCAATCAAAGATCACACCGGAAATTAATATTTACTTACCAATCGATCTATTTGTCTATTTTACTAATATTGAAGTAAAGTTTGTCTGTCAATAAAGTACAAGAAGAGCACATAACAGTTGAATCACTATCATCATGGCTGCGTTCATATATTGTCATAAGTCGATCGAGAAACTTTCGATCTGATAATCCAATTCAGGATCATATAGCAAATGATTGTTGATAATGACAATTATCAAAATTTCTATCAGTTATCAGACTCATTTTCAACTAAGAAATTTTAACTAGCTAATGGATAATATGTTACATATTACTTGAATAATAATAACATTTCGCACAAGGATTCTATTCAAAAACTTTGTTTGCTCTTAATTAAACTTTTCTGATCAATTAATTGATCGGAGATTAAATGGAAAATGAATAGTTTTTAGCATAGTTT